TTCTTCATTGGTGGGAGTATAAACCGGTACAACCACTATGGGAATCAGCATGGAGACCTCTCAAAGAAGTAAAATGAGAAATTCCATTTAACCAGCTAGTTCCCTTGTAGGTGTCTTCCCAAAATAGCTAAAGACATTGTATTACAGTGATCCATGCACACCCATGTTTATAGCAGCACAATTCGTAATAGCTGAGTCTTGGAAGTAGCTTATATGTCCATCAACAGAAGAATGAACAAAGAAAATGTGCTATCTATACATAATGGAGTACTACTCAAGTATAAAGGAGAATAAATTTGAAACATTTGAGGAAAATGGATACACCCAGAAAATATAATGTTAAGTGAACTAAATCAGACAGACAATATATAGTATCTCTCATTTTAATAGGGCAAAGTGTAAATGAAAAAGCAAAATAAAGATTTAATAGAAGGAAATAGGGAGATTGATCCTTTGCAAACAGGTAGGGATCTTATAGACTGAGGGGTAGGGAAGGAGAAGCAAAAAGATTTAAGATGTGTCATTGTCTTAGTTACTTTCTCGTTGCTAAGACAAAATACCCAACACCTCCAAGAAAGCAGGAAAGGTTTATTTTGGCTCACAGTTTGTAGAGGTTTCAGTCCAAGGCAGGGTGGCATGGCAGACAGGCATCGCAGGGGAGAAACAGTCCATGGCAGGGTAGGCAGGAGGCAGCTGCAGCAGCTGTGAGCCTCCCTTTCCATTTTATCACATCCAGGCTACAGGCCTTTTGGGTGGTGCCACCCACACCCAGGGTGGGGCTTCAATGATCCACACCCAGGTTTATGCTAAACCAATTTAGTTATCACACATCCTTAATCCCAGCATCACACAGCCATGGTCCAGTCACCTGCAGAAAGCCCCACCTATGGGAGGACAAACAAATATAAGCCATAACAGTCATGTACATGTACATGTACCAAATACTCACAATGAATGTAAACATTATATATCATAAACATGAATTAAAAATAAAAAAATAATAATAATGAAAATGGGGAGAGGGGACCGAAAGTCTGAGGGAGGAAAATAGGTGGGGAGGGGAAGGAGAATAAAAAGGAATCAAGCTATGTTGTGTACCCGCAACTGCTCCCTAAGATGAACGTAAACTTCACGTACTGCAAACACGTACTCATAAAATAAAAACCTGTTAAAAAGTGAAAGCTTTGGGTGCTGTCAGATTTCTTTAGAAGCGAGCCCCAGAGCCCTCAGCCCAACTGTGTGAGCACTTCTGGCTTACAGGGGGCGCAACCTGCAGGACCGGAGCCGGGGAGGACACAGCAGGACCCTTGGGGACCAGGCCTTGGGGCAGAGGCATTGAGGAGCTTGAGGTGGGTGGTGGACATTGTCAGAGACTTCCGGTCTCAAGGACGTCAGGGTTTCCTCTGTGAACCTATCAAAGCCCTCACTTCGGGCCCCGCGGCAAGTTCTGAGCTGCCCTACTCACCCTCGGAGGAGTGCTTAGCCCTGTGTGGAACAGGTTACACACCGGGTCTGGGACCAGGATTGTCACATTTGGCCACAATGAGAAGGAAGGACACTTCTTGGATGGCCATAGCTGCTATGGCAGATCAACTTTGCTTTCTCTTTCTCTTTCTCTCTCTCTCTCTTTTTTTCTTTTTAACCACTGGGAATTGAACCCGAGCTTTGCAAATGCTGTATTTTTTTTTTTTTTTTTTTGGAATTGAACCCGAGCTTTGCAAATGCTGTATTTTTTTTTTTTTTTTGAGACAAGATCTCACTGTGTAATCCAGGCTGGACTTGAACTCACTATGTAGCCCAAGCTGGCCTTGAACTCGCAGCGGTCCTCCTGCCTCAGCCTCCTGAATGCTGGGACGACAGGTGCGCACCCCCATGCTCAGCAGGACTGTGTTTTATGTGGCTCTACAGCACTTGTGCAGGAAGGGCACAGCATATGGTAAAGGTTTCCTAAGCCGCACCTTCTGTTCCCTGTTTCCTGGGGTTCCTCCAACCAACGGCCCCTCGGCGGCTCGGGATGAACCCGGATGCCCGGTCCTGTCCCGCTGGGCCCCGGGCGCCATCGCAGGTCTCCCCAGAGCAAAACCTTTCCCCTCCCGGGGCGGTTTCCTCCTTTCACAATGTTCCTGGCAGCAGCTGTTGGTTAATTTGTGTTTTTGAGATTTTGAGCAACTTTTCCCCTTAAAAAAAAAAATTAAAAAGGGAAGCTGTCTCCGCTGAGGGCTCCCACACTTACCTCACTGCGCTTTCAGGGCTCTGCGGGGCCAACTGAGCCCCATCATTTCCGCTCCTGCCGGCCCGCAGACCCCTCCCCAGGTCCCGGCTGGCCGCGCTGTATTCGGCCCCTCGGCCAGGGTCTACGGCCTCGCAGCTCCCGCCGCCTCCTCTGCCCAGCCCACAGCTCCAGCTCGCCCTGGACTCAGCTTCTTGAGGTTGAGCAAGTTTGAGAGCTGAGGTCTGAAGCCTGAGTCTCCTCCACGCTAGGCCCGTGGCCCCAGCCCCCGATGCAGTGAGGGAGTCAGGCCTGCGTGGTGGTGCACGCCTGTCATCCTCCTCCCACACTCGGGAGGCTGACGCAGGAGGATATCTGTGAGTTCGAGGCCAGCCTAGGCTACACGGAGAGACCCAGTTGAAAGAAAGAAAGGAAGAAAGGCGGGGGGGAGGGAGAGAAGACAAATGACGGTTGCTAACATCTTTATGGGGAACCAGGGAATCCCTGAGCCCAGCGGTCTGTCACGGAGCCCCTGTGACTGCGGCCACAGCCGAATCTGACTGTGACGGAGGGTGTGGTTCAAACCACCTGCTTAGAGGAGAAATAGGAGACTGGAATGCAGGCACAAGTTACAGCAGTCCTGAGGGGGCAACCAACGAAATCTAGAATGCAAGACGACATTCTGCGGGACAGGACAAGAACCAAAGAGCAAGAAACACGATGAGGACAGGAAATAGAGGCCTCTCTCTCGGAGGTGCTGACATTCAAGCTGGAGTGGGAAGGAAGGGTGGGTGCATAGCAGGGGAGGGAGTGGCAAGTTCAAAGGTCCGGGGGCAGCCACGGTGCTGCGGATTTGGAATTTCTGCCAGGAGAAGACAGAAATGGAGTGAGAGCGGCCTCACAGGATTCCGCAAAGTGCATGTTTAAGGCTTGGTGAGATGCCCGGTTAGGGCCTGGTCATGCCAGCTGCTGTGCCCACTGGGGCCCATGTACATTCGCAGGCGATGTTGCCCTCAGTGCAGAAACACGAGGTCATCTAGGCAAACCTGAGGAGCAGACGCGGAGGCGGTTTGCGGACCAGCGTTTTGTCTCCGCTCAGAACCACTGAGTCACCCTTGCCCTACTTCTCCCTGGCCTCTGATCTGGGTCACCCTGATTAAAGCGCGCAGAGAGAGCAGTCGTAGGGACACTGTGCCACAGCGCCCCCCTGACGCCTGCAGTGCGGAACTGCACAAGCCGGCCCCCCAGCGACTCCGCTGCTTTCCGGAGCTGAGTTTCCCAAAGCCGAACCCGAAAACCGTCTCTCTCGCAGGCTCAGCGCCCCCTGCCGCCCTGAACCGAGCACCCGCCTTTCCCCTACCCCAACCCCATCGGCTGCGCAGCTCTGCATAGCCCACTACTTGGGAGGCTGAGACAGGAAGATCCATCTTCAACCACGGCACTGTTGGAGCGCGGTGTTTTGTGCTTCCCTCGGGCCCGATTCGCACGACTCACGACAGCGCGTGCAGGTTTTCTTAGGTTGCCCGGAATGCTTAAAAGGCTCGGTGACCACAACCTCAGGAGGGTCCCTCCCGGGTGCCCTGAAGGTGACGCAAGGGGAAAAGCAGCGCTCTGCCAGGGGGCAACTTCCCCTCCCTCCAGGCCAGGAGAGGCGCCCCTCTCCCACAAGCGCTGCGGGACCATGCGGCTGCCTCCACCAGCCTCAGCCCCTAGCTCAAGGTCCCCGGCACCTCAGAATGGCTTTATTTGGAGACGAGGTCTTTACGGAGATAATTAAGAAAGAAATCAGGTCAGAGGGCGGCCCTAATGCCATAGAAGAGGAAACTAAATGGGAAACGGGAGGAGGAGTTTGGGGAGGTGAGAATGTTCACAGTATGTATAAATTTGCCAAAATGAATCCCACTAATTTTTTTAAATGCTTTAAAAGTTTAAAATAAACCCATGGAGGTTTTTTTTTTTTCAATTTTCAATGAGGAAATTAGGTCACAGACATATAGAGAGATGACCAGGAGGACAGAGAGAAGAGGGCTCGGTTAGCTGGTGCTCCAGAGGCTGGGGCAGGAGGATTGCCATCGTTCAACAACAGCCCACGCTACACAGCCAGACCCTGGCTCAAAAAAAAAAAAAAAGAAAGAAAGAGAAAAGAGGGCTCAAGAGGAACCAACCCTGCCCACCGCAGCTTCATCTCAGATTTGCAGCCTCCAGAATTGCAGGACAATAAGTTTAAGCCACCCAGAATGAGTTTCTGTGATTGCAACCCTGGCAAATACACCCACTGAAGGCTCTGATAAGCCCTGCAGCCTGGAGCCTGGGGAGCACCCTGGGGCAGGGGAGCAGGAGCAGGGAGGGTTTGCCATGTCCTCATCCTCACTTGGAACCCCAGCCTCCTGTGGCTGCAGGCCCCACGGGAGCAGTTCCTGTCTCCATGGTGCACACCTGTAATCCCAGCACTCTAGGAGGCTGAGACAGGAGGATCCCATGTTGGAAGCCAGCCTGAACTCTACAGGAAGACCCTGTCTCAAATAACCAAAATACTACTGCTCCCAGAGAGGAGCCAGAAGTAGTGACAAAGGAGTGACACCCAGCCACCAGCTGTCCTGCTGTCTCTGTGAAGTGGCTGCTGTCACAGGTTTGGGGATGGCCAGGGCCTCACAGCTGGGAAATCTTAGAGCCACCGGTTATTATGCTAAAGCAGGCCCTCAGCCTCCGTGAGGGCCAGAGAGGAGGCAGCGTCGGGGCCAGGACCGTAGGGCCAGCCCAGCTCCTTGGAAAGAAAGAGGCAGACACCGGCTGGCAGGGAGAAGGGGTTTATTTCTCTGCAGGGGCCCGGGGCAGAGGGCAGGGACAGGTCAGGGCAGGGGAATGTCTTCCAGCTTCTGGTCCAACGTCTTGAGGTCGTCCAGGAAGCGGGTCGGGGTAAGGATGTGTGAGGAGCCTGGACAGAGCAGAGGGGTCAGGGAGCAGGCGCTGCCTCAGCCCAGGCCCAACCGGCCCCAGGCCCCTGACTGCCTAAGGACACAGGAGTCCAGAAGCGTAAGGAAACGGGGGTCCGGTGCCCAGGAGCGCCCGGGGAGCGCAGAATCTCCCCGCCCGCGCTCCGGCCGGCCACTCACCGATGAACACCTCCCACTTGCCCTCGGTGGCCCTGGTCACCTCGTAGGCGGCCCTCATCTCCGACATGGCCACGCCGCCCACCATGTACACCATGAGCCTGGGCCCCGCCCGAGCCTCCACGCCCACCTTGTTCTTGTGCCAGTGGCCAAAACGGGCGCTTTGGGGAGGAAAGGGGTGAAGCGGGGGTCACGGTCAGGCCGGGCAGAGACACACGACCCCACACAGGCCTGGCTGGGAGTCGGAGCGTCCCGGGCCCCCACCTGACAGCTGCCTGGGAGCTGGGCGTGGGGGCGGGGTCGGACACGAAGGGCCACAGCTTGCGGTCCAGCCGGTCCTGCACGGCGTCCTGGGGAGCAGAGGGCCTCAGGACAGGGTCAGCATCTAGGCCTCCTGCCCCCTGGGGCAACCGAGTCCAGGAATCCAAGGTCCGTGGGAGGAGAAGCCGAGAGGGTGCCAGGCCCTGCAGGGAGCGCTGGGGTGGGGGCTCAGCCCCAGGTACCTCCATGATGTCCTTGATGACCGGAGTCCAGCGGGACAGCTGATAGGTGGGCTCGGTTCGCTCCCTGCGCTCCAGCCGGCTGGCGGCGCCCGAGCCCTGCAGGCGGGCGGGGCGGGGTTGGGGATGGGAAGGAGTCGGTCACAGGTGGGGCCTCATCTGCTGGGGCTGGTGACCAGCAGACGGAGACAGGGACGGAGACGCGGAGAGAAAGAAAGGCGGAGAGAGATGGGTATGGAGAGGTGTGGACTGGGGCGCCGGAGGGGGCGGCGAAAGCAGGGTAGGGGCCAGAGAGAGGCAGGAGAAGCTGAACGGAGTCAGCCGAGCACAGGCAGCTGTGAGTGCAAACGGGGGCAAGGCCAGGGCGTCTCCAAGGCGTCCGGGGGCCAGGTGAGCGCTGCGCTCCGACGCTGGGGACCCTGCGCCCTGCCCTAGGACCCAAGACCACACGGCCCACAATGCACCGCTGCCAGGCCCCTGGGGCAGAGGCGCGCTCCCTCGTGGCCTATGGTGTCCCTCGGCCTCCCTGCGCCCTCATACCCCGGGGCTGGTCACGGCGGTCCCCAGCTGCTCCAGGTTGCGGATGAGGCTGCTGTAGGCCTGCACGTTGGCGTGCTGGATCAGCTTGGCCAGGTTCTCCTCGCTCACACCTGGGGGACGGGGCGCTGGTTAGGGTGGGCAGGACAGGGCCGGGTGGATCCCAGGACACGGCGGGAGCCCCTGGAATTAGGACGGGGAGCTTCATGTCACAGGAGCTGGGCGGCCCTGAGGGGGCCGATGGGGGCCTCCAGGATGCACTGAGGGAACCCCAGGTCTGTAAGAGTCAGAGGCTTGGGGCATCCTGTGGGGGGAGAGGACTCCGTGTCGAGGCGGTGGTCACGGGGCCCCGAGAGGTACCTGCGGTGAAGGGTTCCCAGGATCGATGGGGACACACGGGTCTGTGGTGTCTGGGACCCCGCCACACCCACCGTTCCGCAGAAGGATGTAGAGCAGCAGGACCCGGATCTTGTCATAGGGCGGCACTGTGGCGTCCAGCAGCACTGGGACGATCAGCTTCATGGCGTCCTTGATCTTCTCGCCCTCTGCGTCCGAGCCCATAGCCAGGTCCTGCGGGGCAACAGAGACCAGTCAGCTGCGGGGGAGACAGAGCTTGGACAAGGCACGACAAGGACACCCCCAGGGTCCTTGGCAAGAGATCGGCCCCACCTCACCCGTGCAGCAGTTCTCCCAAAGCCCGGCCCACCGTGCAGTCCACAACCCTGTCCCGGGACCACCTCTCACCTCCCACAAGCCCCACCCCACACACTGCTTGCTTCTCCAAGGCCCCGCCTCTCCCTGAGGCCCCGCCCACTCCAAGGCCCTGCCCCACCCTTTCCCGAGGCCCCTACATAGGCCCCGCCCTCGGGGGGGCACTCCCTGCGGCCCCGCCCACACCCAGGCCCCGCCCCACTCGCTGAGGCCCCGCCCCACCTGCTCCACGCTACACAGCTTCTCCACAGAGCCCTTGAAGTGCTTCATGCAGTCTTCAGCTAAATGCAGGTGTGTGGAATACTGCAGGGGTGGGGGGCAAGAGGCTGAGTCAAGACAGCACAGCGCGAAGGAAGGAGGACAGAGATGAGGGTCTGGCCCCAGGCAGCGCGGGCACCAAGGCTCCTCCACCCCGTTGCAACACACCTTGTTCAGCTCCTTCTGGTACTGCGGCATCTTTTTCAGGATGTGGGACAGGTCTTTGATGTTGGCCTGTGGGATGGGCAGCGGGGGTGAGGCTGGGGCTCAGGAGCGGGCAGCCGGGTCGCAGGCGGGCTCCTACCTTGTCGGTGGTCATCCTCTTGCTCTCACAGAAGGACTTCAGAAGCTCCGTGACCCTCCTAGCCACGAGAGAGGGCAGGGTGAGGTGGGCCGGGCCAGCCACAGGCCCAACCTGGCGCCGGCCGGGGTGGGAGGGTCTGGCGGGAGGGGGGTGGCGGGTGTGGGTGTGGCCTGCCGCGGGACACTCCCCTGGGCGTGGCATCTGCAGGAGCACTCCTAAGGACCCAAGGCCTGGGCACAGCCCCAGGTGGGTGCCAGGACGAGGGTCCCACCCCGCCAGCGCCCCCTGGGCTCGCACTTGGAAACATCGGCGATGTGCATGTGCCGAAGCTCCACCCACAGCTCGTCATCCTCGTCCAGCAGCACGGCCTTCTCCCGCGCCTCACTCAGCCCCGTGGTCTCGTACCTGCAGGGTCGGGAGCGGGTACACGAGAGTCAGGGGCCTGCGGTGAGGCCAGGGGCTCAGGTCAGGGGCAGTGGGGGGGCCTGCCCACCTGTACGTGTCCTGCTCAATGTCCAGGAGGTCATAGGCCATGGCCTGGAAAGTGAGCTCGTGCAGCAGCGGCGACACGGGGTCTGCCGCCCGGTCCACGATCAGCAGCTGTGAGCGGGTTTTCTCAGGGCCCTGGTCGGGCGGGAGGGAGGGGCAGCAAGGATGAGGGTACTGACCGTAACCCTCCCCTGCAGGGCTCACCGCACCTACCCAGGGTCCCCTCACCTCGCCCAGACTGGGATTGTCTGCCTTGAAGGCGTTCAGCTTGGCCAAGACGGCGTGGGCCAGCTGGGCCGTGTCCTCTGGGCCCCTGGGGTGGGCAGACAGTGGGCATCAGTGGGGTCTGGGAGGGCTGGGCACGGACTGTGGGTCAGGGTAGGGTCCAGGGCCAGAGTGGGGGCAGGGCTGGGGTCAGCAGAGAAGTCAGAGGTTGGGTGCGGGATGAAGTCAAGCTCAGAGTGCAGCACTGGGGTCCCCACTTGCGGTAGCGGATGGCCGGGTACTCCTGCAGCGTGGCGCACAGTGTGGCGATCTGCTGAGCCAGCACCTCAAGCTGCTGTGCCCGCTCCCCTGCCCGGAAGGGGCAGTAGAGGTTGTAGGTGCTGTGCGGGGTATCCAGGGAGAACACCTAGGGGAGAGAAGGGCCAGGGCCACCCGTCTAGGTGCACACCTGACACCTGCCCCAACTTCCAGCCCCCGCCAGGACACCCCACCCCCTGCCCAGGACCGGCCGGGGCTGTACCTGGGCCTCGTAGGGAAGGAAGGCAAGGTGGATCTCTTTCAGCGTCTTCACCACCTTTGCCAGGCGAGATCGGCCCAGCTCACTGAACAGAGCCTCAGGGCAGGCTGCGCAGGGCAGAAGGGGCCGTCAGACCAGAGGCATCCCCACACCCCTCACCCCAGCCCCCAGAGCCCCAGCTCCCCCCACTCACTGTCGGTGAAGAAGACGTGCGCTGCTTTGTAGGTAAAGGTCGGGGTCCCCCGGAAGTCTGCGATCAGGGCCTGAATGGACTGTGGAGTGCAGAGCAGGCTCCACGTCTGACCCTGTACCCGCAGACCCGACCCCTGGCTGCTGCCCATCCCACACCATGTACCACCGTGCCCAGAGGAAGGCACACACATGCACACTGTGGTGTCCACACGCGCGCACACACACATCACAGGCTCACTCAGGTAGACACCTTCTCTGTGGGACTCAGCAAATAAATGGCCTCCAGGCTGGGGATAGGTTCTCGTCGTTTGTTGATGTCTTCGACAACTATAAGCAGCAGAGGAAGGGGCATGTGTGGGTGGCGTGGGGACACGAACACATGGGGAGGCTCAGGTTAGGGCTGAGAGAACTAGATGGGGGACGGAAGCTTGGGGGGCTGCACACCTGAGGTTCCTAAGCAAGGGACGCACACTTAGGGCGTCACTCGGCTAAGACTACAGTCAGATTCTGCATACTTGGGGTTCACACTTAAGGGCTCCACCCTGGGGGTCCCACACTCCGGTTCCATCTACAGAGCATGAGGTGGGGCCGTCCACTCACTGGTGATGCCCTCGGCCAGGATGTCTGACATTTTGCAGCAGGATGACAAGATACGCATGCTTGGGTGGTCCATAATGAGCACCTGTCCAGATGGGTGGACAGACAGATGGACCCATGGGCACTCACGCAGGCAGAAGAACCCCGGCCAGCCCCATAGGGGACAGGGGCAATGGGTGGAACTAAAAGTCTCAGGGCCTAGGTAGGTGAGTGGACCCAGGTCCCATCCTCCCAATGCCACCCCTGGGACCAACAGCCTCCCCGAGGAATTCTGGGGGATCCCACATACGGGGCCACCATCCCAAGTGGGCTTGGACAAGGGGCCGCCTCTGGGGACCCAGGCATTCTCCCTTCCTCCTACCTTCCATTCCCCATCCTTCTTGACGCTTCGGATGACTCCGCTCAGAATCTCTGCAAGGAAGAGAGAGAGAGAGAGAGGAGGGCCCAGGTGGCTAGTCCTGTGCTCCTACTCACCCTCTTAGGGTTGGACTCCTCCCCCCAAGCCCTAGAGGCAGCTCCTGGCATCACCCCAATTTACAGGCAGGGAAACTGAGGGTCTGAGGGGCAGTGAACTTGCCTACGCAAGTTCAGAGCCTAACTGGCGCAGAGCTTTGGGCAAAAGCAGCCTCTTAATAAATACGTTTGAGATTCATTCATGGGTGGAAAAGCGGGGCTCAGCTACAGACTCAACTGCCTCCAGAGCTGGGCTCTCTGCTTCCCCATTTGCTACGCCTCCATTTTTCTGCTGTGGGGCTTTCAGCCTAACCCCACTCCACCTCCACCAGTCCCCTTTAGACTCAAATGCATGATCCTGATCATCCTAGTGACCTCTAAGGCTCAGTTTCCTCATCTGTAAAGTGGGACCACTGGCTCTGTCCCCCATCATCTCCCTATTAACCCCTCTACAGTGAGCTCCTTTTAGAGGTGGGAGTGCTGCTCTGAGGAAGTAGTTGGGAGAAGGGACAGGGAGCCCTCAACCAGCCTGGCCAGTGTCATGTCCACTGTTATCAGGACCGCAGGGGCGGAAGGAGCAGCTGAGGCCGGAAGTACTGGGGGTGGGGGGAGGGGCGTCCTCACCCCTCCCCCCAAACCCAGGCTGCGGACCCTGCTGCAAGAGGGTCCTGAGGATGAGGCCAGGGAGAAGGTGTCCCCCCCATCACCCCCTTGGGGCCCGGACACGCCCCCCAAACCACCTGCAATCGCTGACCAGCGCGGTATGGGGCCCCTAGGTCCAACCCCGACCTTTGCCCGACTTCAGAGACCCGGGAGGGGGGGTCCACCTGTACCCTTACCCTATAAGCACCCTAGGAGGCGTAGGAGTCGGGGCTCCAGTCTATGCCGCCCCCTACCGCCCCTTTGGGTCCCCATTGGGTCCCCAGAGCCCAGTATCCCAACTTTGTCGCGGCGTCAGCTGGGACCTGGTCCCTGCCCACCCCCTCGAGAACCAGCACGCCAACACCCCGCCACTCGGGTCCTGGGCTTCCAGAGTCCCTGCGCTCCCCGCGCCCCAGATCCCCAGGGCAACCGGAGCCCCGCCCCAGAGGGGCACTCACTTTCTCCCACTACCGCTTTCAGCCCCGAGGGCGCCATCTTCCCCGAGGAGCGCCTCCGACGCTTCCGGGTCTGTCCCAAGGTGGGGGCGTGGCCACGCGTCATGTCATCCACGTGGGCCCCGCCCTGCGGCTCCGTCCCCCCGCCCCCTGCACACCTGGCCCCGCCCCCGGGAGGGTCTCCTTCGGAGGAGGTTTGTCTCGCGCTGGGCCGGCGGGTGGAGGTCTCCGCGCAACCGCGCACAACGTCGCTCCCACGCCCGGGACCGTGACCCGCTGGCCTCTGCGGCCCCAAAGTTTAGCACCAGCGGGTTTGAACAACACTGACCAACTCAAAGTCACATTAAAGCCCGGCATGGTGGCGAATGCCTGCGATCCCAGCTTCCCAGGGGGCTGAGGCAGGATTTCAAGTTCGAGGACAGCCTGAGCAACTTGGCAAGACTTTCTTAAAATTAAATTTAAAAAGGGGCCGGGGATTTAGCTCAGTGGTTTCGCCGCCTGCCTTGCAAGCGCAAGGACCCGAGTTCGATCCCCGGTACCAAAAACAACAACAAAAAAACTAAACTAAATTCAAAAAGGGCTAAAGATGTAGCTCAATGACTTGCCTAGCACGGGTCCAATCCCAGCATTTAAAAAAAAAGTCACACGACACAGAATTTCAGGGCCTGCTCCTATAGTTTCTCAGCAATGGGGCAGGCTGGTGCCCTGTCACCTAGGAGGTACACTTCCAGCAGATCTCAGACAAATGAAGTCTCGGTTCTAATAGGTGATGTGTGTGAATGCAGAGAATCCTGCTTGTCTGAACTTGTTCCTTCACTTAACCGTGTTTACTAGTAATTTCCCACAGGGCCAGGGATTTAGCTTAGTGGTGCCGCTGCCTGCCTCGAAAGCACAAGGTCCTGAGTTCGATCCCTGGTACCAAAAAAAAAAGTCCTTGGGCCAGGATGTAGGTCAGTGGCACTGCCCCTGTCTGGCTAGTGCAAGGTTCTGAGTTCCATCCCCCATACCAAAAATTAAAAATAAAATAATTTCTCAGAGTTGGGAACATAGCTCAGTGGTACAGCACTTGCCTTGCAAGGTCAAGGGCCTGGGTTCAATCCCAGCACCACCAAAAACAAGTGTCTTCCAGGTGCTGCAAGTACCCCTCTGCCCCTTACATGAGACACACAGGGATGAGCAAGACCAGAAAGCCTGACCACTCACAGAGCACGCCAGGGAGGAAGAAAGGAATCATTTCTGCCAGGCTTCGAAGGTTCAGTCCTGTCCTAATGGAATGCAGCGCCCTCTTGGGGGTGGTCCCAGAGGGCCTCATTGAGGGAGGGGTCTTTAGATTTACCCCTAAATGGCAACCACTGGGGAGCACAGGCTGGAGGGGAGATTGCAGTTGTGGCAGGGGCCCAGACATTTTTTTCTCTCCATACAGGAGATCGAACTCAGGACCTTGCACGTGCCAGGCAGGCGAGGCAGCACTGAGCTACATCCCTGGCCCAGGACTTCTTAAAGTCAGACTAACGCATCCAGTTTGCCCAGGATTGAGGGGTTTCCCAGGACACAGAACTTTCACTAGTAAAACTGTGACAGTCACAGACCAGCCAGGATGGCTGGCCACCCTAGATGGCAGTTGGGGCCTTTCTTTTCCTTTTCCTTTTTTGTAATTTTTATTTGTTAATGCAATACTAGGGATTGAATCCAGAGCATTTGCATTGAGCTACTTCCCAGCCCTTATTTTATTTTTTGAGACAGGATAGAGGAAGCAGGAAGATGGGCTGGAGATGCAAGGAGGGGAACTGAACCACCTCATTTCTCAACCTGACCCTAGGAGTAAGTCCACAGGACCTGCCACCCCCCCATACTCAGTGGGGTGACCAGGGTTTTCCAATGGGCTGTGTTCCCTGACCCCAGGAGTCCCGCCCCCAAATATATGCAGTTCTACACCCCAGTACCTCAGAATATAACCTTTTGTAGAAGCAGGATCATCATTGGTGAAATTGGTTAATGAGGCCATCATAGAGGAGAGTAGCCCCCTACTCCAAGGTGACTGGTGTCCCCATAAGATGGCCTTGTGGGGATGGGGGGGATTTAGTTCAGTGGTGCCAACAGCTGCCTCATAAGCACAAGGTCCTGAGTTCGATCCCTGGTAAAAAAAAATGGTGTGGCTGGGCATGGTGGTGTATGTCTGTAATCTCACCTCCTCTGGAGTTTAAGGCCCCCTTGGCAATTTAGCAAGACTCTACCTCAAAATAAAACAATAGCTGAGCTTGGTGGCACACACCTATACTCCCAACAGTCAGGAAGCTGAGGCAGGAGGATCACCACTCTTTCGAGGCCAGCCTGGACTACACAGTGAGACCCTGCCCCCCAAAAAGAAAAACAAAATAATAAAAAGGGGTGAGGATATAGCTCAGTGGTAGAGCATCCCTGTGTTCACTCCTCAGTTCTGTAAAGAAGCGCGGACACAAGGGGAAAGGGCACGTGACCACCTAGGCAGAGACTGAAGTGCTGTAGCCACAAGCTGAGGGCCACCCAGGACAGCAAGCAGCCATCAGAAGCTGGGGAGAGGCCCTGAAAGTGACAAGTGTCGGAGGGAGCACAGCCCGCTTCACCTTGATTTCAGACCTGTGGTCCCCAGAACATTGAGACGCTAACCTGTGTTGCTCTGAGCCACCCGGTTTGTGGTACTGGTTCTGGCAGTCCCAGGCGACACTAGGTGAGGAGCAGGACCCCATGTTGTCCGCGGAGGAGGTGGAGTAGATGGGATCCGAGGTGGGGTAACAGCAGCCCTAACTGGTTTCCAGAAAGGCACTCTGGGGTAGGCACGGGGCTCCTATGGCACTGACAGAGCCACACCTGCTGGGTGGTGAGGGCAGGGACGGTCTCTCCTCCTGTTCTCACTCAGCTCTGGTGGGGATGGGTCAAGTTGGCATTTGGGTGGCAGTGAATAGGAGGGCCCAGGTTTTCTCATCTTGGGATCTGGGATGGGCGACCAGACCCCGGGTGGGGGGCAGGAGATGGAGCCGAGGCTCGGTGTGCCACCATGGCCTGAGGAGTAGGGAAAGGCAGGGCTCTTGGGCTCCGGCTTCCTCCTCCACTGTCCTGTGCAGAAGGCAACTGCCCTCCCAGCAGGGTGAGGCACCTGGGGACATTTGCACTGGTCCTTGAGGGTGGGCTCCAGACCCACCATCCCATTGGCCTGGCTTCTTCCACACCTCAGCGGAGTCGTTATGGCCGGTGAATTCTTCGGGGCCCAGGGAAGTCCAAACCCAGGCTGCCCCGCCCCGTTCCGGGCCAACAATTATCTGGATCATCTTTATGGGGCTTAAGCCTGGGTGGGAGCAGATGGGGAATGAGCCAGGGATTTGGCTGGGGAGAGGCTGGGGCAGAAGCCAGCAGGAAAGTGGATGGAGCCCAGGGGAGGGACAAGGATGGAACAGGACGAGAAGGGACAGGAGGGGCCTTGTCCCCCCTGGGGAAAGTAAGCGGGCCCTGCCCCTACCCACCCCCAGCTTTGGGAGTTCTCAGAGCCTGTGACTGACAGGACTAGTTAATTTGTAGGCCACCTAATTAGCAAGCCAGTCTCTGGGGTCCCCTGACCCAGTTGGCACCGCAGGGAGGTGCTGGTGAGTAGAGGGTCTGCGTGCACAGCCCCTGCCCCGGGGCACAGGGCAGGGCTCTTGGTGCCCACCCCAGAAGGTGCGAGGTGCTGAGACTCAGGCAGTTCCGAGCCCAGGTCCCCTGGTCTGTGTCCCAGCCCCCGGCCACCCCCAGTCAGACCCCGATCTAGGGCAGCGGGATGCTGTCGCACACAGATGGTCCCTTGAGGTGGCACCACGTGAAGTGGTGCTGCGGGCCAGAGCCCCTGGGCTGGGGCCGGGATTGGGAAGGAGACTTGTGTCTCATTCAGGAGCAGCTCTGCCACGCAGTGCAGCCTCGAGGACCATGGTGAGAGCTCAGGGGCCGGAGGGCAGCCCCAGGGCAAGGGTAGGAGCCAGCTGGCAGGGAGGGCAGGGAAAGTCCCCAAATGGACCAAGTGTACCTGTCCCCAGGCAGGCTCGCCAGACCAGGAGGGCTTCTTCAACCTGCTGAGCCACGTGCAGGGTGACCGGATGGAGGAGCAGCGCTGCTCGCTGCAGGCCGGGCCAGGACAGACCCCCGAGAGCCGTGAGCCTGGGCTTGGGGGGCACAGGGGCACTCAGGAGGCCTGTGGGGCAGGGGCACAGGGTAGGGAAGATGACCGCGCCCACGTCTCCGCTCCATGCAGAGGATGGCCCAGCGCCCGAGATGGACAATCTCATGGACATGCTGGCCAGCACCCAGGGCCGCCGCATGGATGACCAGCGTGTGACAGTCAGCACCCTGCCTGGCTTCCAGCCCATTGGCCCCAAGGTAGGAGAGGCTGGAAACACCTGCCAGGCTGTGCTCCAGAACCCGGTTCTGTTTGCAGCCAGGAGGGAATGGGTCCCCACCTCCTTCTCTGCCCATCTTTTGCTGTGGTGCAGGGAACATGCTGGGGTTGGAGCTGTACAACTCATGGGTCCTGTTCCCTCTACCTGAGGGTTTGGGGGAGGCCAAAGGGAGAGAACAGGCCCCCTTTCTGGAGCAACACCCTCAGGGAGGAGGGCATGTGAGATCACTCACGAGCCAGACACATCCCCACTCCCACAACCCATACACAGCCTGGCTTCTGACAAAGAGCCCGGTGAGACCCACAAGACTCACCACCTCACGCCCATCCTAAGGGCAGACAATTAAGGTAAACATAGGAGAATGCTCTATGGGGACAAAGAAGGTGGGCACACACCAGGAGGTGGGACATGGATGGCCCAGTGTCTGCCCTGCACTGCTTGTGGTCCCGCCATCCGGCTAACCCTCTTTATCCACAGGACGGGGTGCAGAAACGAGCTGGGACCCTCAGCCCTCAGCCCCTGCTCACCCCCCAGGATCCCGCTTCACTCGGCTTCCGCAGGAACAGCAGCCCCCAACCCCAGACACAAGCCCCCTGAGGGTCTGAACCACCCTGGGCCCCGCCAGGCCCTCAAAAGCAGACAATAAACACTCGCACGAGCAACAAGGAACTGAGTCTGTGTTATTTCGTGGGCAGAGGACTGGGATTAAAGTGATTGGCCGCCTCAGGAGCTCTGCTGGGCAGCTCGAAAGAGTCTCTCCTCCCGCTGCTTCCGGATTTTCTCTCGGAATTCTTCCAGCTCTTGGCGCTGGGGGCGGGGGAAAGGCGTGGGACAAGAAGGAAGGTGGGGCACACACCTCCGGGCCTCGGCCCTCTCCCGCCACCCTGCCTTTGGCTTTAGAAGTCAGAGTCTACTCTGGGAGCCCATGCCAAGGACAACCAGGGTCCAAGTGAGATCAGCCTGATCCTTCCGGAAGAAGGCAACAGGGAAACCACATGCCCCTCTGCACTCAGTTCCCTACCCGTGGATGAGGGTACAACTTTCAGTAGACCACATCATGGCCACGGGGACCCAACATCCTCTTTATTCTTTTTTTTTTTCCGTGCTGGGGATCGAACTCTGGACCTTGCGCTTTCTAGGCAGACAGCGGCACCACTGAACTAAATCCCTGGCCCAACCCAACATCCTCTGTCCCTCTGGTAGAAGGAAAACTAGGTTCTTACCTGGTCCTCTTTCTCAGGTGGCCATAGCTCTCTCTGTGGGGACAAAGACACAACTGGGGGCAGGAGCCAGGAACCCCCAGCACCCCATAGCCAGGGCAGGGTCCCCAACAAACTGATGCTCCGCCTCCTCCCCATCCCCTAGGACGAGCCTGCGAGAGCTCTCCTCATGCCCACCTTGCGCTGTATGACAGAACTCTCAAACCACTCGGCCTGATTGGAGATCCAGAACATAGCCACAGGGAAAGTGAGGTACACAATCATCTGCAAAGGCAGCGGGTGCGTAAGCAAAGCCGGGTCCGCCACCACCCCAGCCACCTAGAGATGCTGCCGAGAGCCGCTGGACCTCCTCAAACCCAGAATCCCCACCTGTTCTTCCAGGCCCTTTAATCCCGTGAGCCCCCTCTGAATATCCAAGAAACAAACATGAATGCACGCGCGCGCACACACGCACGCACACACGCGCTCCCAGCAGCTTAAGAGCATTTATTACAAAGACATCTCCTTAACCTCATTACCACCACCACCTCGGTCCTCCCAGTCAGATCCCAGGAGTACCGCAAACCCCCACCCCACCCCAAGTCCTCATTCTTCCAATCTACTCCCCCAAGTCGAGGAGTCTCCCTATCAAGACACACACCCGCCCACTCTGAGATCGAGGGCTCCCCCAGGATCTCAAGGTTGCCCTCCTTTAGCCTCTCTTTAGTTCACCCCTCCCTGACGCCCTAATTCAGACCAGTCCTCTTAGATTTCCCAAACCCAGACGCTCCACTCCGAGGTCCCACAACCTAGAGCCCTCTCCGCTGGGCTTCTAACTGTAAAGGTCTCTCAAACTTCAAGCGCTTTCTCCCCAAGGCGCCCCTTGTTTACATTCACTCCTTTTCATAGCCTCATCCTTAAATCCAAGCTCTCCCGCCCAGACACCCACCCCACCCCTGTGCTCACTAACCCGAAACACCTCCAGCTTCACCCCCATCTCGCTTTTCCCAGGCTACAGCGACCCTTCCACCCAAAGTCGACCCTCCAACGAGACAGCAGCTGATTGGTGTTTCGCGGGTAGCAGTGGTGAATCTGACTGGCCGATAAACTCCGGGGTGACGCAATTTTCAGAGGCCTCCGCTGTGCTTCCGGTCGCTGGAGTCTATTACCCAAGACAACAACATTCGTCGCGCTGTCAAGAAAACTCAGCCAATAGAAAACTGTTACGTCACGGGGGCGGGCCTTCTGTGGAAACGTCATAAGTACGCGACTCGTACCTGTACCCGGAGGACCAGGAAAATGGTGGTGATGGCGCGCGTTTCTCGGCCCGAGCGGCCGGACCTTGTCTTTGTGAGTCCGCGGTGGGGCCAGGGGTGGCCTGCGTGGGGGTTACCGAGAGACTAGGGTGCTGTGGGGGATCAGACCCTGGCCGCCTGAGGACATCCCCAAACTGCCTCCCCAAGAATTGGGGCGCTCGGAAGGCTCTGAGCCTGGAAGGTGATGTGATGTTCACACCGGGCTGCCCAGAAATAAAGATCTGGTCTTCCAAGCGGTTCCCTGGTAGCTTGAGTGAAGGTTAAGGGCTTGGTATCTCGACCCTGGACGGAAGTTGGGGAATGAGTGTGAAGGGAAATCACATAACTGGATCTTGACAGATAAAGAACTGGTGTTGGAAATAAAGGCACGGTGACTAGGTCAGGACTCTGATTTCTAGAATAAAGGTTTGGTGTTCTGCACCAGCGGCCTAGGTCTGATTCAGAGCATTACAGTTTTGGGGGGTAAAGGCTTGGTGTCCGGGGCCACCTCAGTTTTAGGAGGTGAAATTCCCTGGAGTGTGAGGAAAAGACCTAGTGATGTTTGGAGTTTGTCAGGCAATGGTCAGTATCCTCGAAAGAGCTAAGAAAAGATGTTTTCATTAGAGACCTGTTATTTTCCTCGGATTCTTGGTGTGCAGGGTTGAGGGCTGTATGTCTGATCCATACCTCTCCTTGTAAGATAAAGACTTAGTGTCCAAGTTCTGGGGCAGAGCTGAGCTAGATTCTAGCACTATAGTGAGATCCTGAGAGGCCAGCACTTTGGTTTCTGGACCTAAGTGTCACCTGGGCTTGGGGTGAGGATGGGTCAGGCAGTGACGGTGGGAGTCTGAGGGACCAAATACCAGCAGTGTGGGAAGAGGTGTGCTGTGAGGAGGTAGGGTCCTGGTGTCTAAGGAGTTTTGATCTGAGAGTGGGTGGTGGGGTTTGGAGGGCCACAGCCTGGTGTCTGAGTAATGGTCTCATTGTCTGGCTTAAGCTAATCCCAGAGAAGTCCATCTGGATCAGATTCTGGGAAGGTGAATTTGGGGGGCAGAGGTCCAAACCAGCATCCTGATTTCTGTTGTCTGTTGATCTGGCTTCGACAATGAACAGTGCGGTCTGGGATGGGACTAATAAGTTTGGAATTTGGGCCTGGACTCCAGGAATGGGGTGGGCTTAGGCTCTGAGGGTATGTTTCTCTTCGCCCCATTCCTTCATCCTGGCAGGAGGAAGAGGACCTTCCTTATGAGGAGGAAATCATGCGGAACCAGTTCTCAGTTAAATGCTGGCTCCGCTACATCGAGTTCAAACAGGGGGCTCCAAAGCCTAGGCTCAATCAGCTGTACGAGCGGGCACTCAAGCTGCTGCCCTGTAGGTGGGTGTCAATCTGGCTACCTGCTCACGAGCCCCACCCCACCTTGACCAGTCATAATAGAACTGGCAAGTGGGCATTGAGTGACTTCTGTGTCTTCTGTCACCCGATGGGCCACACTCCTTTCCTCGTATCCTAGTCCTTCCCCATCTTCTTCACACTTATACATCCTCAGTCCCTTTCTCTCCACAGTGGCCTTCTGAGGCAGGGAGAAAGGTCTGGGGATCTGTAACCCATCAACGTCTGTCCCCTGTCCCCTTCTGTATCTCAGCTACAAACTCTGGTACCGCTACCTAAAGGCACGCCGGGCACAGGTGAAGCATCGCTGCGTGACGGACCCCGCCTACGAAGATGTCAACAACTGCCATGAGAGAGCCTTTGTGTTCATGCACAAGGTGAGCAGCAGGACTAGGGGATGAGTGGGGCTGAAGAGTCCACGGAGGTGGGCAAAGCAGGGGCTGGGCTCAGCACAGGAGGTATGGAGGACTGGAGTCCTCTTGCTGCTGGGTGCCCAGACGTCGGGGTGGACTCAGTCCGGGAACTGGGGTTCTGAGCACTGCTGTATTTATGCCTTGGTGTGTCTCAGCCCTAAGACATCTGGTGTCAGTGGCCAGGCCGTGGGGCCTGTAGCTCAGACCTGGCTGTCTCTCCCCACACTTCCAGATGCCCCGTCTGTGGCTAGATTATTGCCAGTTCCTGATGGACCAAGGACGGGTCACACATACTCGCCGCACCTTCGACCGGGCACTCCGGGCATTGCCCATCACACAGCACTCTCGCATCTGGCCCCTGTACCTGCGCTTCCTGCGTTCCCACCCACTGCCGGAGACAGCGGTGCGGGGCTACCGGCGCTTCCTCAAGGTGCGTCCATCCCTTGTACCCTGGTGCACAGGGACGCTAGCCCCAAGCAGGATGTCACCCGTCAGATGGGATGCAGCGAGAGGGCGCCTGTGATCCATTCCTCTGCTTACCAAGTAGTTGTCTGATACCTGCTTCATGTTAGGCATGGAGAGAGGGGTGCTGGGACGGTGTAGGAACTCAGTGTAACAGGGCAGACAGATGTGCAGGAGCTGACTCCATGAGCCAGATGGACACCACAGTTGGAGGCCGGGAACGGGAGGTGGACAGAGTGATGGGAAGGTACACAGGTAGGGTTGGGAGCACAGCTGCAGCTGGCTGGGCACCCTCTCTGCCGACTTGCAGCATCTGCTGTGCGTGGTGAGAGCCTCAACAGGTGCTCTTCAGCTGGGGCCCTGGGACAGAAGTGAGTCTTGGCCTGCATAGGCTGGCTCATCGGAGCCTTTGCTGGGCAGATCAGGACTGGGGTTAAGCTGGTTCAGCCAAGGTGGGACCAGCCTGGACCAGCATAGGCTGAGGCTGGCTCTGGGCCAGGACAGAGCTGGGTGGCAGGAGGCCCAGTCACTGAGGTAGGAGGGCAGAGCGGTCCTGCAGCCCTGCTAACCTCTAGTGGTGTGGCTGGGTCCCCAGCTGAGTCCCGAGAGTGCCGAGGAGTACATTGAGTACCTCAAGTCCAGCGACCGGCTGGATGAGGCGGCGCAGCGCCTGGCCACTGTGGTAAACGACGAGCGCTTTGTGTCTAAGGCCGGCAAGTCCAACTACCAGGTGAGCCTGCGGGCCGGGGGGCTGGGCGACAGGACTCTTCCCTTGGCCCAAGCTGATATGCCCTCCCTCCCCGATCCCACCCCTGCAGCTGTGGCACGAGCTATGCGACCTCATCTCCCAGAACCCGGACAAGGTGCAGTCCCTCAACGTGGATGCCATCATCCGAGGCGGCCTCACTCGCTTCACCGACCAGCTGGGCAAGCTCTGGTGCTCGCTGGCTGACTACTACATCCGCAGCGGCCACTTTGAGAAGGTGTGTGGGCGCCAGGGCCTCGGGGACAGGATGGGCCTCCCCTGACACCCAGGGGACAAGGCCACGCGTGGGTGGGTGGAACACACGTGCAGGTGTGCTGCGTGTGACCCGTGTGCCATCCTGACAGCGAGGGCGAAGCCAGACCTGGGTTCTGGATGTGGCTCTGCCCCTCCTGCCTGTGTGCCCTCGGCCCCGCAAGGCTGGGGGTCCCCACTAGAGAGTGGAGGTGGCCGCGCATCCTTGCATGTGCAGAGCTGGCACAGTGACAGCAGAGCATGAGACAGGGCTGGGGAGGCCTGTGCTCGCTGATCGCTGGGAGGGCCCAAGCTGCAGAGGGGCCCAGCGGGCCTGGGGGGCTTCAGAGCAAGCATGGAGCTGAGCTCAGGGGTCCTGCGGGGTGCACCTGTGGGTGCCGAGGTGTCGCTGGTCGCCTCCTGCCTTTTACAGGGCGCCAAGTGCTTTATGCGGGTGTCTCGGTTGGACTTGGAGATCACTGCACAAAGGCTGTCACTCGTGGGTGACCGAGGTGGCCGAGGCTCCCCAGATCAGCCTGGCAGCAGCGGGTCCACCCCACAGCTCCTTGCTGGGGCCACTGCTCGGAGCTGCCGGGGCTGGGGGTGCCCCGGGGAGACCCCGCAGGGACTCTGGTGCAGGAGGGGCCCAGGGCAGCGCCTCACGCCCTGCATCCCTGTGTCTGGGCTCACACACCCCTCCCCGGCCATCGTGCTTCCCTCTCATCCCCACCGTCCCCACAGGCCCGGGATGTGTACGAGGAGGCTGTCCGCACCGTGATGACAGTCCGCGACTTCACGCAGGTGTTTGACAGCTACGCGCAGTTCGAGGAGAGCATGATCGCGGCCAAGATGGAGACCACCTCGGAGCTGGGGCGCGAGGAGGAGGGTGAGAGGGCTGGGGAGGGCAGGGGCGCCCGAGGCGGGGAGCGAGGTGCAGAGGAAGGTGGGGTTGGCGACCCGAAGGAGCCGGGACTGAAGCCGGGAGCTGGGAGCCGGGAGCCGGGAGCCCGTGCGGGAGGGAGGATGCAGGGGCGGGGCCGGGGCCAGGTCGGGCGTGGTCAGCCCGAGTCTGAGGCCCCAGCACTGGCTGGGAGCCCAGGAGGCGACAGGACAGAGGCGGCCACTCCTGTCTGGCCCTCACAAGCACACCCCTGGCCCCCAGACGACGTGGACCTGGAGCTGCGGCTGGCCCGATTCGAGCACCTCATCAGCCGGCGGCCGCTGCTGCTCAACAGCGTCCTGCTGCGCCAGAACCCGCACCACGTGCACGAGTGGCACAAGCGCGTGGCCCTGCACCAGGGCCGCCCCCGGGAGGTGCGTGCCGGCGCCCTGGATCCCCAGTCCGCAGGGCCCCAGCCGCCCTGCCTGACTGCGGCTTCCTCCCCAGATCATCAACACGTACACGGAGGCCGTGCAGACCGTGGACCCCTTCAAGGCCACCGGCAAACCCCACACCCTGTGGGTGGCGTTTGCCAAGTTTTACGAGGACAACGGGCAGCTGGACGATGTGAGTGCCGTGCTGGTGTGTGTGGCGGGCGTGAGACCCGGTCATTGGTGAGGGCGCACAGCTCGGGGCGGCCGGGCAGCAGGGTCACAGCCTGGCCTCTGCCCCGCCGCAGGCCCGCGTCATCCTGGAGAAGGCCACCAAGGTGAACTTCAAGCAGGTGGACGACCTGGCCAGCGTGTGGTGCCAGTGTGGGGAGCTGGAGCTGCGGCACGAGAACTACGATGAGGCCTTGCGGCTGCTGCGGGTAAGGCTGGGCCTGGGGCACCGGGCCTCGGGGTGCCACAGCCCGGAGGACCAGCCCTGAGCGCCCCCGTCCCCGCCCCCCGCAGAAGGCCACGGCACTGCCCGCCCGCCGGGCCGAGTACTTCGACGGCTCAGAGCCCGTGCAGAACCGCGTGTACAAGTCGCTGAAGGTGTGGTCCATGCTTGCCGACCTGGAGGAGAGCTTGGGCACCTTCCAGGTGAGCGGCCGCGTGGGGAGGCGCAGGGGCGGCACCAGCCCTGGACGTGCCCCGACCTGCCCTGTCCCCACAGTCCACCAAGGCCGTGTACGACCGCATCCTGGACCTGCGCATCGCCACGCCCCAGATCATCATCAACTACGCCATGTTCCTGGAGGAGCACAAGTACTTCGAGGAGAGCTTCAAGGTGAGGGGCGGTGGGGCGCTGCAGCAGCACCTGCTTGTGTGCCGTGTCCCGGAGCCGGTGGCTCAAACAGCAGCGAGCACAGGAGGCTGGGACTCCTTCCAAGGCCCCTCTGTGGCTTGAGAGCCTTCTTTACCAGCCGATACCCGTGTGTCTGTCACCATCTCCTCTTACGAGGGGCCTGACGGGCAGCCCCGTCTCCAAGGACTCTGGTCCTCAGGTGCCACACTTTAGGCCGCACTGGCAGAGGGTGCTGGCACTGTGGGCCTGGCTTCCACTGTGCTGAGGCCCCACCCCGCCCCGTCTTTGAGTTCTGCTTCATGCAGTCTATGGAGGGACACAAGGCGGGATCCATGACCCTGCCACGGGGCCAGGAGGGTGGGCAGGGAGAGGGCCGTCCGCTGTGCTGGGGAGAGGCCTGCTTGGCATCGGACAGGTATCTGGTTGCCCCAGAGTATCCGGGCACCCACCTGCGCTCACACATGCTGCCCCCCACAGGCCTACGAGCGCGGCATCTCGCTGTTCAAATGGCCCAACGTGTCAGACATCTGGAGCACCTACCTGACCAAGTTCATCGCCCGCTATGGAGGCCGGAAGCTGGAGCGAGCGCGGGACCTATTTGAGCAGGCGCTGGACGGCTGCCCTCCCAAATACGCCAAAAGTGAGGACGGAGGGTCCAGGCTCCCCGGGCACAGGGACAGCGGGGCAGGCAGCGTGGTCGACCCTGACCCAGCCCTCCGCTCCCGCCCGAGCAGCCCTGTACCTGCTGTACGCGCAGCTGGAGGAGGAGTGGGGCCTGGCCCGGCACGCCATGGCCGTGTACGACCGGGCCACCAGGGCCGTGGAGCCCGCCCAGCAGTATGACATGTTCAACATCTACATCAAGCGGGCCGCCGAGATCTACGGCGTCACCCACACCCGGGGCATCTACCAGAAGGCCATCGAGGTGCCTGCCCGTGGGCCTGGGAGGTGCTGACCTGCCACCCAGGTGAATGGCCCGAGTCACCTGCCCTCCCCGCCCTCTGCCCAGGTGCTGTCAGATGAGCACGCGCGTGAGATGTGCCTGCGCTTTGCGGACATGGAGTGCAAGCTCGGAGAGATCGACCGTGCCCGGGCTATCTACAGCTTCTGCTCTCAGATCTGCGACCCTCGGGTGGGGCTGGGCCCCGGGGAAGGAGGGGAGGGGAGGGCTGGGCGTGGACCCTGGCCCAGCTGCTCACGCTCTCCTGCCCACTCCTTTCTGCCCACCCCCTACAGACGACAGGGGCATTCTGGCAGACGTGGAAGGACTTCGAGGTGCGGCATGGCAACGAGGACACCATCCGGGAGATGCTGCGCATCCGCCGAAGCGTGCAGGCTACCTACAACACGCAGGTCAACTTCATGGCCTCCCAGATGCTCAAGGTGTCGGGCAGCGCCACGGGCACCGGTGAGCAGCTGCCAGCCACTGCCCCGTCATGGCCAGGCCCCAGGACAGTGCGGTCCTCAGCACCGGGCACAGCGTGACCCCCCCACCGCAGCTGTGCGCCTCATGGTTGGGTCCTCGGGGGCAGTGAGGGTCTGCTGTGCCGGGACAGGGGCTGTCCCCAGCGTGTGACCTCCCTGTGCCCTCAGTGTCCGACCTGGCCCCAGGGCAGAGCGGCATGGATGACATGAAGCTGCTGGAGCAGCGGGCAGAGCAGCTGGCTGCCGAGGCCGAGCGGGACCAGCCCCCTCGGGCCCAGAGCAAGATCCTGTTTGTGAGGTGAGGCGGGGGGAGAGGGGGGCACGGGAGAGACAGCAGTGGTCCTTGGGGAGGGAGGGTGGCTGGCGGGGTCCCCACCCCCCTGGCCACTGATGCCTGAGGCCCCCACCCCCAGGAGTGACGCGTCCCGGGAGGAGCTGGCGGAGCTGGCCCAGCAGGCCAACCCCGACGAGATCCAGCTGGGGGAGGACGAGGACGAGGACGAGATGGACCTGGAGCCCAACGGTCAGAGGGGGCCGGAGGCAGGTGCGGTGGGGGCAGATGTGCGGCAGGGAGTGACCTCTCCCCTTCCCCGCAGAGGTCCGGCTGGAGCAGCAGAGCGTGCCGGCTGCCGTGTTCGGGAGCCTGAAGGAGGACTGAGCCCTCCCGCCGCCTCCCTGCCCTTCCCCACAATACAGCCCTTGTTTGTACGTGGTCGTGTTGGAGCCTCCTTCTGCGCCCGGGCACCCAGGTGCCCCCGGGGCTGCCAGCTCGGGAGGACCTGGCCCTGGGCCCCGATTGGCTGGGGCAGGAGGTGGGGTGGCCGGGCCAGGGCCAGGGCCAGGCGGACGCCCTGCCCTCACCCTGCAGAGCCAGTTCTGGGCGGCCTCCTCTGCCTGCGGCCTGGAGTCAGGCCTGCCTGGAAGCACCTGGCCCCCAGGGCTCACCGCCCGTGCCTGGCAGGGCCCCTCAGAGCCATGGAGTCAGGCAGCCCGCCTGCTTGTGGACACATCAGCAAGGTGTTCCTGCCCTGGCAGGGACCCAGGAGCTAGAGATCGTGCAGGGCGTGGCCCTCAGCCCTCAGCCCTGGGAAGCCGCCAGCAAACTCTAAGCTATTAGGGGCTTTAGGCATCAGGGGATGTAATCAAATTTGTGCTTTAAGCAGGTCACAAGGGCTGCCGTGTGGGCAGGAGGCAGCCGGGGACACGAGGAGGCTGTCGGCTTGCCCTAGGGGTGCTGAAGGTCATGGGATCAGAGAGGGCTTTAGGCCTCAAGCTGTGGGGGAAGCTGGCCCAAGTGCGGAGCTGGCTCTGCACCTCAGTACTTTGTGGCAGCAACCAGAGCCTCAGGCCTGGGGCTCAGATGAGGGAAGCAGTCCTGGCCTGGAGGCGGTAACCGAACCCAGAAACAGCCGGGCCAGCTGGGAGCACAAGATCGAATTAGAAGCTGGCCCCAGACCAGATGCTAGGGAAGCCAGAAACAGCCACACAGAAGGGACGGGAGCAAGTGGGGAGCTGTGAGGACCCGGGAGGAGAGTGGCCAGGGCCCCTGCACCCCGAGATCATCCAGGAAGGAGAGGTTGGCCGAGTTTGGCAGCAGCCACACCAAGACCATCGAGGTGGCAGAGGAGACGGACCAAATTCCAGCCAGCCCTGGAGGTGGCCCAGCTCCACTGCTGTTTAAATTATTTTATTCCAGAAGGTGGGGAGGGCAGACAAGGGGACCAAGCTGAGCCCTGAGTCCCTGAAGCTCCCAGCTCGGCCCCCACAGCAGGACCAGACTCAAGGTTAGGGGCGGGGACTCAGCCCCACCCGTGCAAGGCTGGAGACAGCCAGGACCCAGGACTGACCGACCCCTGGGAGGCCTATTTGGGGGTGCCGCCCCCCTTCTTGGGAGTGGTGGGCTTCCTGCTCTGCCAGAGGTGTCCCTGGATGGTGAAGGCATCGACGCTCATGGACATGGTTTTGGCCGGGATCTGGGTGAAGCGCTTGCGGTCCGAGTTGTACTTGTAGATGCCTTCGACCATGGTGGGGGTGACAGTCCGCGGGCCGTAGCCCGCCAGCCTGGACAGCTCCTCCGTCTCCCCTGACAATGTGTAAAGTGCCCGGAACTGGCAGCTGGAGTCCCGGAAGAGGATCAGGAAGTGGTTGGCCTTGCTCTTTTCGATCTCCTAGGGGTGGTGGGAGCCATGAGCGGGCCGGGCCGAGACCACCCCCCCGCCGCCCCCCGCCGTCCCCCAGGGCCAGGCCGGCAGCCCACCTCCAGGACGCGGTTCTTCTGCGGCTCATTCACCTTGCCCGCCAGGCAGCAGTGTGACAGGGCGTTGTGGATGATGAACTTGTTGGACTTCGCACTGGGCTCCTTGTACAGTCTCGGACCTAGGGGCCAGGGCGTCAGCAGGGACCAGCCCAGGCTGGGAGCCTGCGCCCGCTGCCAGCGCCCGGGGCGCCGCTCACCTGTGTACTCGGGCACCGAGGCCGGCGAGGAGGCGTTGCTGCCGTTCTCCCAGTCTTGCTCTCGGCTGCCCGGCAGGCGGCTCGGGGACATGAGGCCCGACGGGGAGGGGGCCCTGCAGCAGGGGAGGGGAGGGGAGGGAGGAGAGGAGTCGGTGGCCGGAGGCTCGGTCGGGTGCAGGGGTGGGGCGGGCCGGGCGCTCTGCAGAAGACGTGCGTGTCCCTGCCCACCCACCCGGGCTCGAGCAGGTGCCCCACGCCCCGACAGGCCAGCAGCCTGAGCCCCGCCCGCCCACCCGGCGGAGCTCACCGAGACGTGGGCCTCTTCACGCCGAGGTTGTTGGGCAGCTCGTTGGCCACGGTGGACAGAGACAGGGTGGACTGGGAGTAGACCTTGCTGAGCCGTGAGCCTGGGAAGGGACGGCTCGGGTCAGGCCCGCCGAGCCTCTCCAGCACCCGGGGACGGGTCAGCCCTGCGCGCCCGTGGGAAGGGTGCTGCCCCCCAGCCCTCCCCCGGCCCCGCGCCCGGGTCCTCACCCAGCAGGCCACGCGCAGGGCTTCGGGCCAGAGCCGAGTCGTCGCAGCAGCCAGAGCGAGGCCGGGGGCCCCTCCGCCCGCCCCGACCTGGGCCCCCGGCCCCCGGGGCCCGGGGCCGCAGCACCTTATCCAGGTCGTCCATGAGCTTCAGCTGGGCCCGGCGCTCGTACTCGAGCCGCGTGAACTCCCCTCGCCGGGGCCCCCCCTCCTCCTCAGCAGGGACCCGAGTGGCAGGGGCTGGGGCCACCGCCAGGGGAGCTGACGCGGGGGCTGGGGGTGCTGCGGTGGGCTCCTCGTGCACCAGCCTGCAGACCCAGAAGGGAGCAGTCTCGGTGAGCACAAGGCCGCGGGGCAGAGGACAAGACCAGGCTTCCCCGGGCTGGACCCCGCCGCACCTCACAGGCTCCTCTCTCCGCTGCTCCTTCTCGGCCTCCTGCCACTGCCGACGCTTCCGGGCCTCCTCTGCCCGCCGCTGCTGCCGCTCCAGCAGACTGGCCCGCTTCTGGGCCATCTCATCCTCGGGCTTGTCTTCGTCCTAGGGAAGACCCAGTCCAGGTGACTGCTCTTCCCGGCCGGCTGGCCACCCACTTGGCCTTTGCAGATGATTTCCAAGTATTCAGGTGGTGCACGCTCCACGCATGCCCCACAGTGCTGGGGGTCCTGGGAGCTGCCCCCCCAAGCACTTACCCAGTAGCAGAGACCATGAAACGGCGCAGACTGTAAACGTGGGAAGAACGTGCGTGGGGGCCACACTTTAGGGAGGGACCTACCTTATCCTACCCTGTAAGGGCACTGGACCTGACCCACCACCTGCTGCCTGAAGAATCATGAGAACAACTACACTAGGCAGAGGCGAGGGGTGAGTCTTCCAGGAAGCAGACATAGCAAGTGCAAAGGCCCTGAGGTCAGAACAACTCAGCAGAGGGAGAATGGGAGAGCCTGAGGTGAGGACAGCCCAATACCACGGGGAAGAGTTTTAAGATCCAGGAGGAATGGCACAATTCCTGACTGCTCAGGGGAAATGCTCAGGGTTCGGGGTGCAGTACCGTCCGGTCAGGTGATTGTCCAGGTCCAAGTCAGGCCCCCGGATAATGGAGAATGACCACACAGGGGCACGGGCAGGAGGGAGAACTGGCAGACCATGCTGAGACGCCACAGAAGACCCTGGGCCTGTTTGTCCAGCCACCCACCCATGCACCACGCGCTCACCCATCTCTCTGCCTTCCCTCTGTCCTTCCATCCACCCCATGCATTTGTACATCGGGCCGCCCACACCTGCTCCCACGCACACTGGCTACCGCTTCTCCACCACCCACGTAATCTGTGATCTGCCCACCCAGTCTGCCCATCCACCCGCCCGCCTTCCCAGCCCCTCTGCCCACCCACTTATCTTCTCCTTACCACTCCCATCATGTCCAACCACTGGATCCATCTACCCCCGGGTGCCCACGCGAGCTATCCATTCCCCTCCTTCCCTCCATCCTCCACCTCTGCCCTTTGTCCACCTGTCCTCCTTTCCACACGAAAAGCCCCAGGCATCCACCGCCCATCCACTCACCTCTGCTCCTCGGCCCACCCCCAGGTGTCCCCACTTCCTGGCCACCCACCCACCTGCTCAGGTGACTCACCTTAAAGAAGAATCCGAGCCCAGTCCGGGGCTCTCCCTCGGACAAGGCCTCCTCCTCTAAGGAATCCTCAGCCCCGGGAGGGCTCCCGTCTCTCTCATCCTCTGCAGCAGGCTCGCCCAGGCTGGCCAAGGGGATCTCAATGAGGCCGGGCCGGGGTGTGGGCTCCTCGGGCGGCGTCCCCTCCGACAGGAGGATGGAGGAGCGCGTCTGCACAGGAACCTGGCTCGGCGAGAACTTGCGCAGGTGGGGGAGACTGTCTACATCGTTGGGGGGCGTGAGCACCCTGGTCAGGGGGGCCAGGCGCAGCTCTGCCGGCCGTGCGTGTTTCGGGCTTCGAGATGTCGGGTTGGGGCCGGGGCCGGGGCCGGGGCCGGGGCCGGGGCTGCGCCGGGGGGCTGGGGCTCGCCGGGCAGGGCTGGGGGACACGGCTTTGGGCCCGGCCATGGGACCGGGGATGACCCAGGCAGCGGGTGGTGGGGCAGGTCCGGAGGCTTCCGGCGGGGCCAGAAGGCGCTGCTGCTGGTCCGTGAGCCTCTGCATGTCCCGCTGCAGCGAGCTCAGTGCGGCACTCAGCTTGCTGACTGCTCGGTTGTAGTCCCCGAGCCCCTCGGGGGGCACCGGGCCCAGCTCGGCAGAGAAGGTCACTGACTTGGGCCGCGAGGAGGGCTCGCCCTGGCCCTCGCCTGCCGGCCGCTCCCCTGCAGGGGCTGAGCCCGGCCCCGGCTCCGCCTCCGCCTCCCCCGCTGCCTCCCGCGGCTGCACCTGCAGGAAAGCGTTCTTGCCCAGACGCTGGCGGTGTTTGGCAAAGATGGCTTCGATGCGACGCTTCTGGGCCTCTATGGCCCGGCGTTTCTCCTCCAGCCGAGCTCCTAGTTCGCTCATCTCTGAGCTCAGGGCCTCGGGTGCTACTGGAGTAGCCGTGGGGGATGCTACTCCAACCTCCACCTCGGCCTTCACGAGCTGTTTCTTGCGCTCGGCGAAACTGGTCATCTTTACTTCTGAGTTGGTGGCTGCAGGGGACAAAGCCACTGCCTTCGGGGACCCCTCAGCTGGGGCTGGTGGCTTCAATTCCTCCCCTGCTGGGCAAGGGGATGATTTTGAGGGGACCTCGGGGTGGGACACATAAACAGGCGCTTTGGGAAGCCCATCAGACAGTAGTTTCGAGGCCCCCATAGGTGGGTAGGAGGAGGACAGCGGCGGTTTCGAGGGGCCCTCGGGGGAGTGGAGGTAGAAGCTGCCATCCGCGGCGCCATCCGGGAGCAGCCGGGGCTCGGCACTGTGGATGATCTGCAGGGCTTCCTCGATGGTGGGCAGATCGCCAGGCTCCGGGGTCGGCTGGACGGGGGTCCGAGCCGCCGGCACAGGCCGCGGGGGGCCCAGACTGTCTGAGCTGACGGAGCGCAGCAGAACGGGGTCTCCCATGACGACATCCACGTCGCTGTCCAGGCCAAAGGGGGTGCTGAACGACACAGCCTGGGAGAGGGGCCGGCTGGGCGGCCGGAGGGGGGAGGGACGGGTCAGCCCCTGCTACGGCCTCCGCCCTGCCCCGCCCCGCCCGGCCCGCCCTGCCACGGGCCTGAGGTGCTCACCTGAGCTGCCGATTCCAGGCCTTGCCCAGGGCCTCCATGTGAGACATGGACGGGGAGGACTTCAGGGAGCCTGGGGAGGGCCAGAGGGGTCACGTGGGGTCACGGGGACCCTGGGTGCGGCCGGGCTCCTCCGCAAGGTCCCTGCGCCCCCAGGGGTAAAGGGTCCAGCAGACCAGGGCTTTCCAGGACGTCACCCAGGGATCATGGGAAGACAGCTGGGACATCTGCGGACGGGGTCCCCAGCGACAGAAGTCTCCCTCCTCCTCACCTGTCGATCCCCGAAGCGGGGACTGGGAGCCGCCAGGGGACAGGAGCGGGTGCCGGAAGTTGAAGACAGGGGAACTGGCAAGAGAAGCACTCTAATGGTGGGACGCCCACCCCAGCCTCTCCCGGTGCCCCACCTGTCCCAGCGTCACACCCCGTACCTGCTGCCGCTGTTGTTCTGGGACGGGGAGGCCTCGGTGCCCCGGGGGGAGGCGGCTGTGGCACAGAGCACAGGGTCAGGCAGGGCATGGGCTCCCCCCACCACGGCCCCACCCTGGGGCCCCAGGCTCACCGTGCCCATCCGGTAAGTCCTTGGCCTGCACGAAGTCGGGTTTCAGCACCTCGAAGCACATGAACATCTCAGCCAGCAGCACCACCAGGTTGACCTGGAGGCGGGAGGGGGCTCAGCCCGGGGTGACACAGCCCTGCATGCTCAGGTCAGCCCCTGGGCCCCCAAGGTCCTGACCTTGAGCGGCGGAGGGACATAAAGCAAGTCCTCGAGGGACAGCGGGCAGCCACGGGGAAGGCGAGAGGCGCAGAAATCCTGCACCAGCTGGAGGTTGTACAGGCTGTCGGCCACGGACATGGGGTCCTTGAGGCAAACCTCTGTGGAGACAGGAGGCCTGGGTCACCACTTCACGCAAGGGGGTCAGAGCCCCTAATGGAAGACCTAGTGCGGGCCAGACAGTGCCTCAGCCCTCCAAGATCTCAACTGAGGCTGCAAACAGCAGCGCACGCCTGTCATCCAGCACTCGGGAGGCTGAGGCAGGAGGATCGCCAGGAGGTCAAAGCCAGCCTGGGCTATATACTGAGTTCAAGGCCAGTATTGGCTACACAGCAAGACCCTGTCTTAAGAAGGAAAAAACAAACAAACAAAAAAAACCTCAACTCAAAACCTTCTCCTGAGGGCCGGGGATTTAGCTCAGTGGTGCTGCCACCTGCCTCGCAAGCGCAAGGTCCCAAGTTCGATCCCTGGTAGACTCACAAAAAAAAAAAACCCCAAAAAACAAAAAAACTTTTCCTAACTACCCATCACCTTCTGGGGCACCTAATCCATAAGGAACTTGTGGTAGAATTTATTGTTTGTCCCTCCTAGTGAGTATGTTACACAGACTGTGAGGTCAGAAACGTGTCTTTATTTGTTCTCACAGGATCCCCGGCACGTAAAGTGGGGTCTGGCACGAAGTCCTGCTGCAGGAGTGAATTCTATGAAGCACAGAGAGGTTTAGACACTTGTGCAAGGTCACACAGCTAATTAGGAGACAAGAAAGAGAGATGCAGACCCGGGTCTCTGGACTCCAGAGCTGCATTTATAACCACTGCATGCTCCTGCTCTCTCTGGAGGCTGGCGCTGAAGACCTCAGCATCCCAGGAGGAGGGCAGGCCCCTTTGCTCACCCTCAAGACGTAAGAGCTGAGGACAATAGCAGTGGATGGTGGCGGCCAGCGCAGCTCCACTGGCCAGATCCTGGACGGTGGTCACGGATGGGAAGCAGGGGGCGCGGCGGGCCGTAGCCCGGTCCTTGCGGTAGCGGATCTGCAGACAGGAGCTGCGTCAGGTGAGCGACTGGCCAGCCCCCCGGTCCGCGGTCATGCAGGCTGGGGGGGGAGGCCTGGGGTTTCTGCCTTGGGGGGGCAGGAAGCCGGGGGTCCCAGAGCCAGAATGGAGGGGGGCCAGCCTGGAGCAGGGGGGGACAGCAGCAAGAGGCAAGGGTCTGCAAGCGGCCAAGCCAGCAGAGGGATGGGGACAGGGACTCCTGGGACCCCGGGGCGGGGGATACATTACCATGGGGGGTTTGCTCCCCGACTCCTTCAAACAGAAGGCAATTGCGTGCTGGGGGGAGAGGAGCAGCTGTCAGCAGGAGTTGGGGCGCTGAGCTGCTGGGCCCCAAAGCCCACTCTGGGTGAGGAGTCCTGACCCATCCTAGCCATCCAGCTCCCTGCCTGCACTCTCTGGCCGGCTGTAGGGACCCCAGCTCCTCCCAGCCCTGAGGGACCCCACAGAGCAGCCTCCCATGCAGGGACCCCTCCTCCCAGAAGACACGCAGGCCCCAGCTTGAGGGGAGGGGGCAGAGGAAGCAGGTAGGCGGGGAAGGAGCCCCCCAACCCAGACCCCGGGGTGGGGGGAAGGAGTGAGCAAAGGTGGGGGCCTCGCCGAGCCCCAAACCTCCCCCAGCTTTCCCCTTCTCCGCCGCACGAATGAATTCTACGAAGCACAGAGAGGTTTAGACATTTGTGCAAGGTCACACCGCTTATTACAGGAAGAGAGAGGTAGGCGCTTCAGACTTGGAGAACAGGCCTCCTTCTCCAGCGGGGGTTTCTTCCTCCCTCAGGGAAACTGAAGATCTGAGTTAGGAAGCTACTTCTATCTTCTGGGTGGGGGGTCTTCCTCTTGACTGGGGAGCTCCTCCATGTGCTGGGGGTCCTCCCAAGATGGCTGAGGCCCGGCTTGGAGGCTGCCACCCTCTTAGCTGGAGTGGGAGGCCCTGCCCTCTGCATTACTGGGAAATGCGCACCTGTGGGTCGCAGATCCCTCCCCTTCTCTTGGTGGGGGTCCCGTCCCCAGGGCTGGCATCCCTACTCCTTTGCTCACAGCTGTGGGGAGATGGGAGAGGGTGCAGACAGGCGGGCGGAAACGGACACACGGACAGACAGCAACAAGCAAGGTGGCGGACAGGGCAGGCAGGCGGCCCCACTTACAGGAACCAGCTTCCAGTACCAGCGTGTGGGACACTGATGCCAGAGAGCAGAAAGGGGGACAGCGCGGCCCGGAGCAGGGGACGCGCAGAGAGAGAGAGGGAGAGAGAGAAGTCACCTCCAGCCCCGTCTCGGGATCCGCAGGAGGCGCAGCCCAGCCCCCAGCCCTCCTCATCCGCACAGAGCACCCTGTCCACCGCCCCAGCCTCACCGAAGGCTGCGCAGGGGCCGCCCCGTCGGCAGGGGCGGCGGGAGACACCCGCTGTGCAGCTTCCTGCTCTGTCTTCTCCTGCAGCCCCCGGACGTTCTGCGGACCAGGAGAAGTCAGTGTCCGGCTCACTGCACCACCCCGCCCCGCCCACTCGGCCCCACCCCACATACCGTTTCCACCCAGAAAAGCAACTTGTGCTCCAAGTTGGGCAGAGCCAAGGGACCCGGCAGCGTCTTTGTCCACTCAAAGGCGAAGGCCACCATGAGGGCATCGATGACGGCCAAGTGGGCTCCCTGAGGGAGCCAGGACTGGAGCGTGAGGCCAGGGGCGGGGGGGGGGGCGTTCCCAGCCGCCCCAGCCAATGGAGAGGAGGCGCCTGGAGTGGGAGTGGAGAGGGGCGGGGCAAGGGGCTGGTGGGTGGGGCCTTGAGGGCAGTAAGCAGGCCAGGAATGGAAAAGCCATGTAGGATGGGCTGGGTTCTGAGGCCCCAGATAGAGCGGGCAGGGTAGGGAAGTCCTCAAGGACCCCAGTTCCTTTAGGGAGAGGGCCCAGGTTTGGTGGGAGGTGCTTAAGTGGAGGAGTAAAGCTCAGGGGGTGGAGCTGGGGGAGGAGCCATAAATTATGGGGAGGATCTTGAAGAAGCTAGGGGAGTGGCTTAAAGGGAAGGGCCAGGCCTGGTGGGAAGGACTAGGCTTGGTGGGAGGAGCGGATGGGTACAGCCTGAGGGGAGAAAGTAGGCTTGGTGGGAGGACCTAGGATTGGCGCTAGAAGCTAAGCTTTGTGGGGTTTGGTCTGATAGGTGGAACTAGGCTTGGAAGCAGGAGCTAGGCTTGATGGGTGGAGCTTAGCGGGAGGAGCTAGGCTTAGTGGGAGGGGCTAGGCCTGGTGGTTAGGGCTCAAGGGGAGGAGCCAGGGCTAGTGGGCAGGGCTTAATGGGCAGGGGCGGGGCTTACCATGAGAATGGGCTGTTGTCTCAGGTCGGCCTCGCGCACAGGGCGATCGGGTAGCGAGGGCACCGTGCCCCTCCGAGACAGCAGGGCCAGCAGCGCGGAGGGGTTGGGAGGGGCCTCAAGCTGCGGCAGTGCCTGGCGCCAGGCCCGGCAGTAGAGCTCAGCGGAGAGCAGCAGGCGGGTGACCGGGGGCTTCACGTGCTCCTGTGCGTACTGGTCAGTGTAGAAGGGCTCCCACAGCTCCGGGGGCACGTGCTCTGCACGCAGGGGACAGGCGGTCAGGGCTGCCGCGGATTCACGCGGAGTGACGCCGCAGGTGCTGGGGGCCGGGCTGGGCCGGGAGGGAGACTAGGTGGGCAGTTTGCCAGAGGACGGAGCAAAGTCCCAGACCAGGGCCTAGAAGGAGCACAGGATCTCAGGGAGCCCCGAGACTGGCTAAGCACAATCTTGTAGGCCTCGGGCAAAGGCAAGAGCACCCCAAGCACCGTTCACAAGCACCCCCTGCGCGCGCTGGGTGCTGCATTCATGGACGCCCTGGTCAGTCCTAGAAAGAGGCCAGGGCACTGCTGGTAACTGTGTCAGAGATGAGAAATGGCTTTCCAGAGGAGGCACAGGGAGGGTTGGTGACCTGCCCAAGGTCACACAGCTCTTAATGCCAGAACTGAGATTCCAAACTAGGCCTTAAGCAAGGTCTACATCCTTGGGGACATCCTCTTGGCAGAGGACTCAAGAAGCTGGGGCTTAGGGAGCTGTGAGGTCCCGCACAGGGGCAGCCAGTGAATCCTATCTGGAGGCAGGGCTCCAAGCGGGACCCAAGGGTGACGAGGAGAAAGTCCGGGAGAGAAGCGGGTAACTGGGGTCACCAGATTTGCCTCTTCAAGCAGGCTCCAAGAGAGCCCTTAACAGCACCCGGAGATCCTCGACAGAAATCCTCCTGGTCTTGCCTCCCTTCTGACCCTAAAACCACTCTGCCCTCCCCACCTGCTTGCAGTCGCACCTTTACCCAGCCCTTCTCAGCTCAACGCTTCACAGGAGGAGGGATTTCCAGTCTCGCTTTCTCCTCCTCCCCTCCCGGTCCCTGGCCCTGCCTCAACCTCCCTGACTTGGCTGCCGTCCTCTCTTTCCCAGACTCCTCAAAGCCAGCGGTGTTAGCCAGTTCACAGCCACTGGACATCCGGGGCCCGTACTGCCCTGGGCTTTCTGCCCAGCGTCTCCTTCCAGAAACCTTCTTCTCCCTGGCATCTCCCTGGAAATGGACCTGCCCCACCTACCCGTGACAGCGCCCACGGCCATCTGAGGACCACCACCCACCGAGGACCGGTGCAGCGTCCCACAGCTGTCACTATGGTGGGATAAAGTCCCCAGCCCTCCTCCTGTGCCTCCCTCCTTCATACTGAGTGGGTTTCAACTTCCGAATGCCTCCCAAATCCAAACCCACTTCACTATCTGCTTAGTCTGCTGGAGACCCGGCTGTGGGCATTTCCTGCCCCCATCAGCAAAATGTAACAAGTTTCTTTCCTTGGGGACTTCTTAGGACCTTCAAAATAAACAAACAAACAAAGCTGGACTGACTGATTGCTAATGTTTATGGAGCACTTACTCCTTGCCACAGTTTCTTCCAGTTGGCGCTATTGGTCTTTGGGTAATTGTATATACTGGGGGGATCCTGGCTTGCGTGTTATAGGGTGTCTACTCGCTATAAACAGCAGTACCTCTTCCTGAGCAGAAATAACAAAATGTTCCCAGACATTGCCAGATATCTCCTGAAGACAAAACTGCCACCAGCAAGAACCACTGTCTTACAGTTCAGAGCAGAGCAGAGCTGTCTAGCAGAAATAAGCGTGATCAAAAAATACAACAAATGTTGCTGGGCATGGCGGTACACACCTGTGCTCCCAGCGCTCAGAGGCCAAGGCAAGAGGACCGCCCTGAGTTTGAGGCCAGCCTGGGCTACACAGTGAGTTCAAGGCCAGTTTGAACTGTGAGACTGTCTCGAGAAAAAAAAAAAAAAAAGCAATGAATGTAAAAATTTATTACAGTAAAAGATGCATTGCCATGAACCTTCCCTCAAAATCCTCCTCCTTGCTTTGAACACACTTATCCCATTGTTCTTACCGCTTTCTAAAGCAGTTCTGGAAGTCCTCTTTAATGAATGTCTGTAATTGAGCTGTTGCAGCTGCCTCAATGTCCTGAACTGTTTCAAAATGTTGACTTTTCATGGTCATTTTGACTTTGGGGAAGAGCCAGAAGTTACATGGTGCCAGATCTGGTGAATAAGGGCACACCGTGATGTTTTTATGAACCTGCCCTTCCACTGAACGGCACTCAGCAGCAGCATTCATGGTATTTTTGATCACACTTCACGAAGACACGCATGAAAGAGGATTTCAGAGCTGCTTCAGAGAGTGGAAGGAAGAATGAGATGTGTGTTTAAAGTGAGGGGAGATATTACGAGGGACTTTACGGCAATGTATCTTTCAGTGTCATAAATGTTTTTGTTTAATTTCAATGTTCATTTTTTGATCACCCTTTGTATAATGTGAGCCACATGTATAGTTTTAAGTTTTCCAATAGCCACATTAGCCAGGGATTTAGCTCAGTGGTTCCGGTGCCCGCCTGACAAGCACAAGGTCCCAAGTTCGATCCCCAGTACCAAAAAAAAAAAATTGATACCAAAGCCACACTAAAAAAGTAGAAACAAGGAACGCTAATTTAGTAATATAGCTTATTCAACCCAATGTATATCCAAGGTGTTATCATTTCAAAATATGATCAATATAAAAACATTAATATTTTACACTCTTTTGGTACCAAGTTTTGGATCCAAGGTCTATTTCATATGTACTTCAGATCTTAATTCTGGTTAGACACATTTCAAAAGTATAATAACTACAGGCATACACTCCTAATCCCAGCACTCTGGGAGGCTGAGACGGGAGGATTGCAAATTTGAGACCAGCCTGGGCAATTTAGCAATTTAGCGAGAACTTGCCTCAAAATTAAAAATGAAAAAAGGGCTGAGGCTGTAGCTCAATATGATGATCCTGGGTTCAATCCCCAGTACAAAAAACAAAAACACCACATGTACAGCTAGCATGTTTATTCCATGACCTTCACTGAATTCTACAAACCCTTGAAATGCAGTATACATAAAATGTACACTGGATCCAAGATTTCATACCAACAAACCAAATGAACAAACCAAAAACCAGTGAAACCCTAATACACACAGGCTCTTGCTATGTGGCCCAGGCCAGCTTCAAACTTAAGATCCTCCTGCTTCAGCCTCCCAAGTGCTGGAATTACAGGCATGCACCACCATGGCAGGTAAGAATGTAGTCTCCTCCTCCTGTGCACTTGCATCCTGCAGGGGGTATTTCCCAGGCTTCACAGACCCCGTATCTTGGAGCTCTGCTGAGCCCACCTGCCTTACATTCCTGTGTCACCACACATCTGTGTCTCCAAGGACCCCCCAGCTGCCCTTTCCCTGACCCCAGCCCCCGCCATCCCTGTCGTCTTCTGAGACCCCAGGCACCTTCTGTGGCTCCCCTTGCCCACAGCCCTGGAAGCCCTCCTCCTCCAGCCTCCCTTGGCCACCTCTGGGGACCTCCATATTCTTTTTGAAAACTTCCTAGTGATCCACACCCCACACGCCAACACCACTCCCGGGCAAACTCTTATGCATCCTTTAAGACTCAAGCCCTTTCTCCCCTGGTCAGCCTTCCCCTCTCCCTTCCTGGAAGGTTTCACTGCTTGCTCCACAACACAGATCCTATCGGACAGCAGCCCTGGTCTGGTTTCACGCCCATCCCTGCCTCCTGCACAGGCGCTGGCCTGGTACCTAACAGGTATGGGTAAAGTCCCAGAACCCACCAATCTAGCAGAGCTCTACCCCTCACTTCCTGCAGCTACCCTGGCAGGCATGTGAGGGAGACTGAACCTGGCCCTGGGGAAGGATCAGTCACTGGACAGCTAACACAGCAGAGCTGAGTCAGTTAAGATAGCACTGGGGGCGCATCAGGATCTTATCCGCCCCATCAAGGTGCTTTCCCTTCTTTTTTGTATGGGGGAAGGTTTTTTTGAGACAGGGTCTCCCTATGTAGTTCAGGCTGGCCATGAACTCACTATGTAGCCCGGGCTGGCCTGGAATTTGAAGGGATCCTCCTGCCTCAGCCTCCTGAGTGCTGGGGTTACAGGCATGCATCACCATGCCCAGCTTCCTTCTTTTCTGTGAGTTGTGCTCTCTGCCCTGGCCAAAGGACACTGAAAGGTAGTAGCAGCATTAACAGAAGTCTCATCACCAATCACACATGCAGCCACAGCGACCATCCAGTCGCACAATCCGTGTGCCACGTACTCTGTGATGAATTCCAGAATGAGTGCCTCCCCAAAACCTTGCCCATGAGGTGCCAGGTCTCAATCCACACGGGCACACACCACATAGACATTTCTGGGCACGGGTAAGTGAGCAAAGGGAAGCCCTTCACAGAGGGGAAACAAGCACAGAGAATCGGGATAATTCGCCCATACTCTAGAGGAGGTAGGAGGCAAACTCTGATTCTGACTCGTAATATTGGGCTGCCTGTGGCCTTCTAGCCTTGGATGTGAGGTGTGGGGTGGTCCCCAGTGGAAAGCCCCAGCTCCCAGGCCCTTTCTTCCTAGTCTGTCGGATCCCTGGGGTGGGCAGGTAGGCCATGCATGGCAGGGTGCAGAAAAAACAGACCTGGAGAAAGTGGAAGAGGCAAGCTGGGGAGGAAGCAAGCTCGGGCCAGCTGTCACGGGGACCCACACCCAGAACAGGTTGGTCTGGGGGGAGGAGGGGCAGTGCCCAGCCGGTGCCAAGACCAGTGGGCGTCCCCCATGGCTCTCCGGAAGGCCTAGACCTTAACTGCTCCCCGTCTTCCCCAAAGCCAAGCTGGGACTCCCAGCTCTGGCCTCGGGGTGGTGGGGCCGAGGGTTCTCGGGCCTCTGTCCTCCTGGGGAGGCTCCTGTATGCTCCGCACGGGGCTGGGCCGAGTTCTCCAGACCTGTGGGCCTGGTGAGAGTGGAGGTTCTGCAGCCATGGAAAAGGCCTTGCTGCTCCGGGGCTCCCAACCTGGGCGATCCTGGACAAGCCATTTCCCTTCCACAGGGCTCGGTAAAATGAAGCAATAACTCTTAGCTGCCAGCAGCTGGTGGGGGCCATGGACGCCAAATGGGGGTGGGGGTTCCCGGAGCTCCCGGATCGCCGCCCGCAGCGCAGGGAGGGTCTGGGGAGGCGGCGGACTGGGGGTCCCCGCAGGCGCGTGATGTGGGGGTGCAGAGGGGAGCGGGGGGGGGGCGTACAAGGCAAGGTTCCACGCCGGCAGGGGCGGGAGGGGTCCCCACCCGGGCGCAGACCCCGCCCCGCTCACCTGGGGGCCGGGAAGCCCGGGTCCGGCAGAGCGGGCCCCACCCCCACTGCGCCCGGGCGGCCGGGTGGGCAAAGTCCACACCGCGCCGGCCCAGCAGGAAGCCCGGAAGCCCAGGCGCTGCGGGGCCGCGGACACCGGGGACACAGGGGACCCCGGCGCCGGCGCTATTGTTCCCGCGCCCCGCCCCCCGCACCTGCCGCGCCGCGCCCGTGCCCCCGGCCCGCGCGGTACCTGCGCCCCCGAACGCGGCCCGCAGCACCCACGCCAGGCTCGCCGCCGCCTTGGCCCGCGAGAAGTCGTACTGGTCCAGCGACTTGATCTCGGGCACCAGGAAGGTCCTCCGCAGCGGCCCGGGCCCCGCGGGCGCCGCCTCCACCATGGCGACGCGGGCTGCGGCGCCGGCTCTGCGCTGCGCTCCGCTCCTCCTCGCCGCCGGCTGCGCGCGCTCGTTCCCGCCCGGCCCGGCCCGGCCGCCGCGCAGCTGAGCCAGGTGCGCCGCCTGCGGCCGCGACGCTGCGTCTGCCCCGCCCCAGGGCGGAGCCCAGGTGAGCCCCGCCCCCGGCCCGGACCCCGCCCCCCCGCCAGGCTGGGATCTGGCGGGGCTGCGGCCAGGGCAGGGCGGGGGACTGCGGCGGTGGGAGGGAGGGCTGCTTTGAAGGAGCGACTGAGCGTGCGTGCGTGCGTGCGTGCGTGCGTGTGAATGTGTGTGTGTGTGTGTGTGTGTGTGCGCGCGCGCGCCCACGACACTGGAGACCACCAGGGCCCTGTGTGTCCATGTACATGTGCTCTGGAATCTACACTGAGTGCCATGTGCCGTGTGCCTCCCCAGCGTGTGTGTGAGTGTGCGTGTTTCTGATTGCATTGCAGAGGGCACAAGAATGTGTGTCTTCGAGCAGGTGTGGTGGCGCACGCCTGTCAGACCAGTGCTCAGGAGGCTGAGGCAGGAGGATCGCCGAGATTCGAGGCCAGCCTAAGCTACATAGTGATTTCAAGTCCAGCCTGGACTACAAAGCGAGACCCTGACTCAAAACAAAAAAACAAACAAACAAAAAAAAAAGGGAAAGAAAGAATGAGTGTCATCGTTTGTAGGTGTGCGTCTCTGAATGTGTTTGGATGGTGACTGAATGCATTGGGGGACATCCAGGGCCAGAGGTGTGTGGATCTTGGACATGAGTGGGGCATATATGTGTGTATGTGCCTGTGTTAATGCATGTCGGAATGTACGAAGGTTATGTATTATGTAGGTATATATAATCTTCTTGCTTTTGAGCCAGGGTCTTGCTATGTAGTTCAGGCTGGTCTTGAACTCACTATGTAGGCCAGGCTGGCCTCCAACTCGTGGTGATCTTCCTGCTTCAGCCTCCTGAATGCTGGGGTGACAGGTGAGCACCACCACGCTCGGCAGTGTTTGTATTCTGAGAGTAAAAGTGATGAGTGTGTGCACCTCTGTTTTGTGGGTGGGTGTGAGTGTGTGTTTGTGCAAATCTGAATGTGCTTATGTGTTGTAGAAGGGTATGACTTTCTGTCCACACAGAAGCATGAGGGAGACAGCGGGGGTGGGTGTGTCTGTGCAGGCAGGTGGCTATTCTGTAAGTGCACTTGTGTGACAGTGATGGTATTTTTTGGACACGTCTTCGTGGATATTCGTGGCATCTGCAGTATTTGTTGTGGGGGCTGTGGCTGTGTGTAGGTGAGGATGCGCTTGTGTCTAAGTGGATTTGTATATGAGCGTGTGAATGTGAGTGTGTGTGACAGTTTTCTGAGTGTATTTTGGGGGTATACAGTTAACCCTTTGTATCAGCACCTTCGCAATTCAGGAGAAACAAATTCTGTCTGAACTGAACAATGGCACAGACTCTTTTCTTGAGGCGATCCTCTAAATGATACAGTATAACAACTAGTTACAACTGCAAGCACATTGTTTCAGTTGTTACAAGCCACCTGGAAATGATGTAAAGTCTACTGGAGGGTGTACCTAGGTTCTATGCAAATACTGCTCCATTTCCTGGAAGGGGCTTTGGCACCCAAGGATTTGGGCATCTGTAGGGGGTCCCGGAACCCATTTTCTGGAGGTGTCAGAGATTACTTTGTATCTGTTTACCTGTATTTATGGATTTGAGTAGATGAGCGTAAGTGTTCAAGAAATTTCAATTTGTAAACCAGGTGTGATGGTGAGGCTGGGGCAGGATTGCCACAAGTTCCAGCCCAGCTTAGGGTGCATAGTGAGACCCTGGTTCAAAAAGGGAGAGAGGAGAGAGAGAGAGAGAGAGAGAAAGGGAGGGAAATTTCTATGTATTTATGAGTGTTATTATGTGCATGTTTGCCTAGGAGCTGCATATTTGTGTACTCACACAAATGTATTTGGGAGTGATGTGAATCTAATTGTGTGTCCCTATAACGATGTAGGCGAACATGTTAGGTATACAGATATTTGTGTACGTGCCTCCAATCATTTAGTATTACTGGATAAATAGTAACTGCCTAAAGCCCTATTTGTGGATATTTAGCGTTTGTTTGTGTGAGCCATTGTGGTTTTGTGTCAAACCATCTGCTGGGTGGCTCTCATCTGTGTATAATTGTGAAGCACAAGTGTTTGTGTTTGTGTAAGTGCTAGGTCTTTCCAGGCCTGTAGGTGTAAGTGTGCATATGTGGGCATAACTGCATGTGTGTAACAAGTGTACACATGTGTATGAATTTATGCATTATCATTTGATGTATCCATTTCTAAGTATATTTGTATGAATGAAACTGGGTGTGTATAAATGTGTGGACTTTTGCCTGGATCTGTGTGTGAGCATTTACAGTCATAAGGTGACCAAGTACATGTGTGTGTACATGTATTTTTTTTTAGATAGTCTTCTTATGTAGCGCAGGCTGACCTGAAACTCACAGCGATCCTCCCGCCTAATCCTCCTAAGTGCTGGGATTACGGGTGTGCAAAACTCAGCCCGCCTGCTTGTGTTTTCTGAATGTAAACTGAGTTTCTGCATGAATCTCTGCGTGTATCTGTGCCATCTGGATGTGCCTGGACATTAGAATGTGACTGTGGTCAAGTGTTCAGACCTGCACATGTGAGTAGCCGTGTTCTGAGTGGCTTTGCATGTGTGTAACCGTATTTATGAGTACCAAGGTACACTTGTGTGTGACAGGTGAATGAAGCTGGGTGGGGGAATTCTATCTAAGGGAATATAAGTGGAAGCTGGTGCATTTACAACTATAGACGGAAGGGAGCCCCAGTGGCACAGTGGCACGTGCCTGTGATCTCAGCACTCAGCAGGCTGAGGCAGGAGGATCGCCGTGAGTTCGAGGCCATCCTGAACTACACAGCAAGACTCTCTCAAAAAGCAAAACAAACCCAAAAACCACAGAGGGGGGGTTCAATCTGTGCACACCTAGGATTAAAATGTTTTCACCTAGAAAAACCACACCATCAGGTCCTCAAGACCCCGGGCTCCAGACAGGGCCCCGAGGACGCATGTGCACACGTGTGCGAGACAGGGGTCCCGTGGTCTGGAGCGTGTGACCAGGCAGGGGTGGGTGTTCCCAAGGGAAGGGAGCTGGGTGTGCACTCCGGTGCGGGTGCGCTGGCGCAGGCCTGGGTGCGGGTACACAAAGAGCCTACTGTGCGCTGGAGCACACATGTGGCCACGCCTGTGCGCCTGTCTCTTGCCTCAGCTTCCATCCCCGTCCCCCTAAGACCTCTACACAAGGTCCTTCCCGCGGCGGGCCTCAGTGTCCCCGTCTTGGCATTTAGGGGCCTCAGGGGCTCCAGGCCAGGAAGAGGGAGGCTCCCTGGCAAGGCAGGGTGTTCCCGTCACGCCCTGCTGGTCCGCGAGCTCGAGCTCGGCGTGTCTTGCAGCCTCATGCGCCTGTTGGCTTTGGCCGGGAAGGTTCCCGTGACCTCCGGGGACCCCAAGGACAAACGCGGTGAAGACAGCACCTGCCGCCGGCGGTGCACACTCCGGGGACGCCAGGCGGACACGCAGGCACAGGCCTTCGTGCCAGGAGGGGCTGCAGGCCCTCAGCCGTCAGGGCTGCTAGGGGCGAGGGGCAACGCCAGCAATCGTAGCAGGGCTGGGCCGGTGCCCCCCCCCCCCCCGGGCGCCAGGGCCTCCGACTGCCCAGCCCCCACACCGGGCCGACCGGAAAGCCAGGCTGGGCCGGACCGCCCCGCCCACACGGCGCCGCAGAACCCGGGTCCCGCCTGCCCTCGGGGCCCTGTTCCCGCAGCCTGGACGCAGACACACTGGCTCCCCGTGTGCACCGCGGGCGGAGGAGGGTGGGCCCCCAGCAGCCCGGACACCGCACGCAAATTCCTCCTCCCCCTCCTGGACCCTCCCGCTCATTAGACAGGTTACTACACTGGGGATGGGGGTGGCTTAGAGGGTTTGGAGGTCAGGGGTTTGGGATTGGGTTTGGGGGATATGGGAACCCTATAAAACCATCCGCCGGATTCTGCCTGCCTGTGCAACTTCCTGTCACACTGACAGCTCCAGGTTTTTGGTGCTTTACATGCCTAGCACCATCTCATTGAGGCCTGATCACAATCCTAGCATAAGGGTTGAATCCTTGGAAGAAGCCTAAATAATGACTTTGGGGGAGGTTGGGTTTTCGGAGGTCGGGTGGGGTATTGTTTTGGGGTTTTGGTTTTTTGAGGCAGGGTCTCACTCTGTAGCCCAGGCTGGCCTCAAACTCGAGATGATCCTCCTGCCTCAGCCCCCCAAGTGCTGGAATTACAGGTGTGTACCACCAGGCCCGGATTGACTTTTTTTTTTCCTTTGAGATGGGATCTGGCTCTAGCCCGGGATGCCTGGAAGCCATCGGCTCAAACTGTTGCTGGCTAGCTTGGGTTCTTGCTGGAGCAGAAATGGGATTTAAAACAAAATCATAAATTTACGGGAGGTGGGGGGCTTTGATTGCAAAGTTAGAGGGAAGACAGGAAAGGGCTGGAGGGGACACTCGGATACAGGGGTTCAGGGTGGCGCCCTGTTAGGGGGTTGGGGGGCAGGTGGGGCCACTCCACTGTCCTCTCCCTCAATGAGAAGCATCGCTTCCGCCTCTTTGGTGATCTCGGGCAGGTGGGATCTGCTTTTCCTGGGATCCTGGGATCTTGGGATCCTGGGATCGCAGGTTCAGGGCCATGGCTGGAGACTTGCAGGCCTCCCTAAGTGTCCCTGAAATCCGCCCCTCCCCATGACCTCAATCCAGAAGGGGGTCAGATTATGTAAGTGCAGGACTCACCAGCCTTGTTTTGCCAACTTTCAGAGTGATACTCGCTGGCTGATTAACTTATCGAGATGCAAAGCTGAGAAGAGATCTGACCCCAGGTGTATAGTGACGAGCGATATGAAAGGAAAACAAAACTAACCCTTGTTCTGC